ACCAGCACACAATATTACGGTACTACTTTGTTGCTCGACATAATTACAGAGAGGTTATAAAAGATGAAAAGTATAGATCCACTATACACTAGTGGTTCCCAAACTTTTTCCAGCCGTGTATCCCTTTAGAAACCCAGGTGTTAATTGCAAACCCTGGATATGTTTATAGAATTGATACGTTTTATATCTTGCTGCATTTTTTTAGCTAACCAGGAAAAGGCACAAATGCTACCTCTCAGCATTAAACAGTAGCACAGACATCACTGATTGCTCAAAATCATATTTCTTTCTGTAGAATGCTGTACTGCAGTACTCGTTCCAGCCTGAAGAAGCGCTACAGCTTCAGAGATGTGCTGTTCTCTGGCTTCGCTCCGGATGGAGGAATGTTCATGCCTGAGCATTTGCCAATACTTTCCATCGAAACGCTCCAGCGCTGGAAGAACCTGAGTTTCCAGAACCTTCTGTGTGAAATATCCAGCCTCTTCATCCCCGAGCATGAGATTACTAAGGCACAGATTAAGGGTGAGACAGAAAATATAACACACGCATACACTAATTTCTACTACACACTTCTGCTTGAAACAATGTTTGTGAACCCCATTGAGGTGTTTACCGTTTTGATGATGATAAGATGCCTTTATATTTGTCACATACATTGTTACATGCAGTGAAATGGGACCCCTCTGGCCACAGATATAGACAGGGTGAAGACAGGCCAGTGTTGAGAGGTAGTATTTAAGAGAGAAACATAGAAAAGGATATACATTAGGTGAAGTAGCTCAAAAATAGAGCCTTTTCCGCACTGTCCTTCAGAGGGAATTGTTTAGACTCCTTTTCTGTAGCATATAACGTAATGGTCATATTAGCAGACAGGAGTCTGATGTTGGTTCTCCCTCAAGTCCCCCCCTTGCAACTGACGAGCCCAAACTCTCCCTCAAATAACAATAAAATAACATCCCTGGCTTTACCTTGTCCCAAGACCAGATGTGCTCCAAGTTTCAAGTCATGTACCTAGAGAGTTGACGGCCCATTGACACAGTTTCCTAGTTGCGTATTAGGGTCTGGGCTCAGTCCTGAATGTTTTCAGGTCCAAGAAACGCCCTGTTCATTACAGTTGCACATTCAAATGATAGGCCGGTTTCATCCTGATGAACCAACTTAATTTATTGACGTTACATATTTGTGTGTCGCTAGCTCCATCTTTCCCTCTGTTTGACTCTCACGTGTTTGTTTCTGGACATCAAGAGAGAAGGCATTGCTTTGTGGATAGCGCATCACTTCTGGGGGAGGGAAATCGAGCATATCCAGCCTTGACGTAACGATTTCACTCGTGTGACTTAAACCAATTTTTAAACAAACAAACTTGTTTTTTGCTCTGGAATGTACATGTATTGATTTTTTTTCATTTACTCTTATAAATCATGGCTCAAATAAAAGGCTCAACATGTCTTTAATTATCACTAATTATCTCGTTCTGTTTCCCCCTCCCATCTAGAGCTCATCTCTTCTGCTCTGTCCTCTTTTTCTCTCCCTGATGCTGTGAGGCTTGTCCATCTGAGGGACTCTCTTTGTATCCTCGAGCTATTTCATGGAGAAACTCTAGCCTTCAAGGATGTAGCAATGACATGCACTGCTCACTTCTTGCGTTACTTCCTGCGCAAGGATGCTAGCCGTGCAATGATAATTGTTGGTAAGTAGGGGTTATACTTTTACAAAAAATCTGAGGAAAAAAAAAACTACTCCTAGTGAGGGAAAGGGGAGGAATAGGGGTTGAAGCCCGGAACTAAGTCTAGGAAAAGGTAAAGCCCGAATGTAAAGAATTCCATTGACTTAGAAAGGATTGCATGCGGCAATTCAAAAAGCTAATGCTCCTTACGAATTCCGCTCTGCCAGAAAATTAATCTGGGAATAACATTGATCTGTGATATTTCCTCATGTGATGCAACTTCAGCCACCAGATTGGAGAGTTCACATGTGTGAGCTTTTTGTTATTTTGTTAGGACGTCAGTTTATACGTGTCTGTAATTTCATTCATTTTTGAATCCGCTTATTCCCTTTCGGGTCACAAGGGTCTGCAGCGCACATTGAGAGGCGGGGGGGGGGGGGGGGGCTACACCCTGGACAGGTCACCAAAGGTGCTTTTTGTTTCGTGACTTGAGGCCCTGAACCTGCTTGAAAAGTCACAACATTCCACACACACGATAGAGCTGGGGAAAATTTCCGTCTGATTGGGGTTTTAAAATTTGGTGTGGCAAAATGGCTCTATAGCGCCACCATGTTAGTTGGTTGTATGTGGCACACATCAGTAGGGTACCTAAACTTACTTAAGAAATATGGGTCACATTTCCAAAATGAACAGGAAGTTGGTTATTTTGCACAAACCTTTAAAAGTGGCATTTTTCCTTGGCAGCTTTAGTTCTAACTATAACTATGAGTGTGCTGGCTTAATGCTACATGTGTGTTTTATTCAGGTACATCAGGAGACACAGGCAGTTCAGCCATCAGGAGTGTGCTGGGGGTCAGTGAGGTTGACATCGTGGTGGTGTTTCCCCGTGGACTGATCACTCAAGTTCAGGAGCTTCAGATGACTACTAGCATAGCAGACAATGTTTACGTGTTTGCAGGTACAACAGTAGAGAGCATCCACATAAAGATTTTTTTAGGGTAGGGTATTACTTTTCATACTTTTTTCAAAAGTCTGTTTATTTTTAAATGTCAAATCTTAATTTTTCTAATCACTACTGAATTAGATCTGGGGTGAGTTGATTGAACCCCTGTTCTCAGTAAAGGACACTCTTGACAGATACACTTGTGCTCATATGTTTTCTGATTTCTTGGCCATTTTGTTTGCGTATTCCACTCATAGTTAGTGGTAGGGCTGGGCGATATATCGATATTAAAAATATATCGATATATTTTTAAACGAGATATGAAATTTGACCATATCGCATGTATCGATATAGGCTGCGTTCAAACTGCGCTGTGAGCCTTGCTCCAGCAAACTGCTTTAACCCGGAGCTCTCAGCACTACTTCGCGCGCCCCTGGCCACGCCCCTCCTCTTTCAGGCACAGAGAGGGGAGGGGCTGGACTCTGGAGCAGACAATCCGCCGGCACTCTTCAACAAACATGGAGGAAGCAACAACATCTGCTGAGCATGCGGAGAAATTAGTTGGTAAACAAAAAAGTAGCGGCTCAGTAATATGGAGATGGTTCGGATTCAAAGTTTCTGATGAGAAACAAAACCATGTCATATGTAGGGAGTGCCATAAAGAAGTTACAGCCAGGGGTGGAAGCACTACAAATCTTTTTCACCATCTAAAACAGTGGCACAAACTGCAGTATGAAGAGTGTGTGAAACTGCGCGCTGCCGAGGCCCCAGCTGCAAGCCAACCGCAACCCGCAAAAGCTCCAGCCCCGACACAAAGCTCCCTTCAAGCTTCATTTTCCCGCGGTGTACCGTTGTTGTGCCATATTTCGACTCCCCGGCAGATTCCGACTCCCCTCTTGCGTGAACGCGCATTCAATCACGTGATTACACAGACTAAGCCAATGAGAGTTCACATAAAATGTTTACTCGTGAAAAAGTTTTAATTTTTATTTTGCTTATATGCCGCGTAGATGTCAAATTTACTTGTAACACATTGTAAAACTATAAATATTGTTTAAAAGTTTAAAAGAATGCAATCGCCTAAGATGCTTACAGCATTGAATATTTTAATAATTTATGAATGTACAGCATTATACAAACTTTAGATTTTTATATTTTATTTGCGTATTCAAATATATATATATTTTATTCCCAAAAACAAGGGAACAGCTGAGTATTGTTTCATCCGGACAGTTTAAATAAAACTACTTGTGAAATGTCATATTTGGGTTTGACTGTGACTAAACAATTGCTCTCACTTTTTGATAAAAATATCGGGATATATATCGTATATCGATATTCAGCCTAAATATATCGGGATATGACTTTTGGTCCATATCGCCCAGCCCTAGTTAGTGGGAGCATTTTTTGTCAAATAACTGTTATATAATCTCATAATGACAACAGAAACTTCCAAATGCACAAAGCTACAAAACCTTCCAGCTCCGTGGTATAGTGGATGGTGGGCCGAACGTGTATGCGTGGTTGCCATTGTCCAGAACCTATTGTCATTTCCCATCCGTCCCCTTCTGTCTGCCATAGTGATAATAACATGCACAAAAACTTACACAAAAGGGTGGTAACCATCCACATCTGCAACCTGTTTGTAATCAATGTTTGTGCATAAAATGTTTCTTGGTACCTGATCGACCCTTGCCTCTTTCATCCAGTGATGCGCTGACATTTCTGACTTTTGAGCGATGGGGAAAGCAAAAGAGCCGCCAAAAGATCAATGGAAAAAGGTAGCTGAACTGTACAATCAGCAGAGATTAAGAAATGGAAAGATGGATTCTGTTGACAAAAATTTCTGAAACAGCTGCCAGAAAAATTGGAAGAGATCCAAAGAAAACCCACGAATACAAGGGCTCTGTAAAAAGGAGACACTTGAAGAAAAATGAGTTGCCAAAAGCTATTACTGCCCTAATTCCACAAAGTGTAAGCCCCCTTACAATATGTCTAACAGCTCGTTATTTGGAGCGATGAGACCAAAGTGTTTTTGGCCACACCTGTAAACGCTACATTTGGAGAGGATTGAATAATTTCTTTTAGTTTTTTGAATGGTGAGCTCCAAAAGCACAGGAAACTTGATCAAAACTGCGGAAGATGAATGCAGTATGTTATCTAAGGATCCTGGAGGAAAATGTGCCCGGAAGCTGCTCATGGGGCACTACTGGACATTCCAACATGACAATGATTCAAACACAAGGCCAAGTCCACACGTCATTTGTTGCACCAGGACAAATAGAAGGTTCTGGAGTGGCCGTCTCAGACTCCTTGACATCAACATTTACATCACATTTGGCAGACGCTTTTATCCAAAGCGATTTACATTTAAAAGAATGAACACATTTTTGTCAGTTTGTGATTTGAACCCAGGACCTTTGCATTGTTAGTGCAATGATCTACCAACTGTGTCACAGGATCTACTATGGAAAAAAACTCAAATATGCCGTTAATTCAAGAAATTACAAGAGTTTGCCAATAAGAATTGGCTGCTTTATCATTAGAGAAGATAAAGAACCTCATCGACAACTACCTTGAGACTTTTGATCAGGGTAATTTGGAAAGTTCCTGTTGTCGTTATCATTTAAAACATCAGATTCAACACAGATAATAAACGACTTCAGCCAACCACTAATTTTGAGAAGGAAACGCTTTTGTGTTTTTCATATTTTCTGAATTGGTCAAGAAATCAAAAAACCTATGAGTACAACAGTATTTGGACAGATTTTTCTTTGGAAGTGGCATGATTGTGTGTTTTTTTCCGTTTTAAGTATCATGACTGTGTTTTGTGTAACTAGCGGATGGTACATCTGATGACATTGACGTTCCAATTCGAAAGCTCTTTGCCGACTCAGACCTGGTTGACCGCTATGCCTTGATGAGCCTGAACTCTGTCAACTGGTCAAGGATCATGGTTCAGACAGCTATCTTTCTGTATGCATACCTGAAGCTTAGCATGCTCCATGTTACCGAGGATGCGCTGCCAGAGCTGGAGGTGGTCGTGCCCACCGGAGGAGCTGGGAACATCACAGGTAACAAAATATTACATAAAGACTAACCCACCAGAAACTTTAACTAGTTTAATATGCTCACCTGTCAGATTCTCTGAGAACCGATGGAGTGTAGTATTCCATAGTACTACACTGCAGAGGTGTGGACTTGAGTTAATGGTGACTTTGGTGACTTCACAAGACAATACGGCTAAAAACTTGCGACTCGATCATATTTTGCTCATGCTTCTACGTCTGAGAGAGAGAGAGACCACAGGCAATCAGCCAATAAAACTGAAATATCTTTAAGATCTAAGTTCATCTCTTAGTTGCTAGTAGTATTGTTGACACGTGATTGGCTTTCCCCGCTGTCACTCCATTTCAGTTCATTTACATAAACATTGAAATCTCTGTTTTTAGTACATTTTTTCTAGATTTTATACTTAGGCTTTTGGTATTTTAGAGTTAAAATAAATGTACATTACTCTTTACTCTTAGAGTAGTGACTTGGTCATACAGATAATTTAAATTAAATGAATTTAATTCAAATTCATTTACATTTTCTCTTCAAACTGAAAATTTAAAATGGTAATCATGAATTACCCTCTCATATCTTAATAATCGTTGTTCAGCTGGATTAATCATGAAGCAGATGGGAGTCCCTCTCCGACTGGTCGCCATGGTGAATGCCAATGACATCATCCACCGCACAGTGCAGAGCGGAGACTTCTCCATGTTTAGCACAGTGACCCACACACTGGCTCCAGCAATTGACATCCAGGTGAGTTGAGTTTTGGATCTGTTGCATACTTCACCGCTACACTTTCAGTTTTTAAGTTAGCATTCATATTTTAACCACAAATTTGTCTTCAGAACTGCCTTAATTCTTTGTGGTATCGATTCAATAAAGTTCTGGAAGCATTCCTCAGTGAGTTTGGCTCTATTGGATTGAGGGCTCGTGACTGATGAGGTCATTTGAGTACAGTGAACTCAGTGTCATATTCAAGAAACCAGTCTGAGATGATTCGACAGAAAGGGAAGGACATGGTCTGCAACAATACTTTTAGTTTAGGCCTCTGCCTTCAGACATGTCCAACTTGGGTGTTCTGCCTGAAGAACTTCTAAACTTCTGTTGGTATAGCTCTTAACCCCGTGGACCAGAAATCGACACTTACAGAAAGGTCGCATAATTGCACCCACTATTTTTAGGACAATTTGACAAACTATGTATCATTTGAAAGCTGAATTTCTCATGATTCAGGCGATATAAATCCTTATAGATGTAACACACCACAGCAACAACAGTTAGTCAATTTGTGTAAAGAGTCCTGACAAAGCAAAATGGCCATGCATACCTTTTATGATGTCTCTACAGGAACACAGCCACTGAATCATCGAGTGTCTTATGTTATTGTACTTGTAACAGTCCAACGAACAAAATGCATCCAAGCAGGTGCTCCAAAAACGTGTTTACCTTGAGAAAAAGAGATAAAAGCACAACTATTTACTTTTCGTTTGCTACAAAAGAAAAAAAAAACCCATTTTTAAAGAAGACCGGACAAGCATGGTATGTTTCAATTCAGTAGAGTCTCCTGAACATATTTAGACCAACTTTAGAAGTCTGTGAATCCTGGTCAATCAACAAGACGGTAAACAAGCCCTGGCCATTCAATGAGAGCGCATGTCAACGTGGTTTCTCGTTTTTTCACACGTGTGTACAGCCAACCAATCGCGATTAAGCTCCAAGCAGATTGACAGGTCATTTAGCCAATGAGATGAGCTTTCCAGCGACGTATAGTTTCACATAGTTTGGTTGACAGACACAAGGTGAGCAGAGAGCAACAGGCATGTTTTTCTGTTACTGTTAGTAACATTATTGCATCTAAGAAGACATTTGATCGTTTTGAGGACATTTTAGAGGAGATTCATGTTGTTTTAAAGAGTGGCATGCACAAATCACATTGTTTTACACATTTTTTTTTTCATTGTTTGCATTTGCAATCCACTTGTTCTGTTGGAGTAAATGCAAACTCCTTGTATTACTGAGTGTTAAGCTTTTTCCACAAGTTCCACATTGGTGCAGAAGACCTGTTTCTATGGCCGTAAATTGGTAATCTCTGCTGGTCATGCACTCAGTCACATGCACATTGCTCAGCTGTATTGCTGTGATCTGTGTCGAAATCCCACTTGAAATAATAAATTTCAATGGCTGATACTCTTCCTCGCATACCCAGTGCCCATTTAATGCCCAGAAAAAAGGTTTATAGTGCTGGACAATTACCACGTGTTACAAAACAGAAGCTAAAGAAGGAACTGCAGCACTGAGGTCAAGCATTACTGTATTGGGCTGCATTGGGGAGAGACACGCTGAAGTTGACATGGTCTACATGGATCAGGGTGTACCCCCGCCTCTCGCCCAATGTGCACTGGAGATAGGCACCGGCAGACCCCCGTAACCCCAAAAAGGGAATAAGCAGTTTAGAAAATAAATGAATGAATAAAGTTTTAACAATAAATCAGCGGTCTTCAATTATGTACAGTTTAATTAGTCATTTATAAACAATCTGGAGTTATTTGTTCCCTGCAATTTGGTAGAACACCCTTATTTGTATGTTTTTTGATCCTGCCGTAGCCCTGTGACCGCCATTGCTGTGTAAAATTGAACTGGTCAGTGGATTTCCTTTAATTGAATGTGGGTGTTCATATGTGTTTTTGTGTTTCGAGGACCCCTATAACATGGAACGAGTGTTCTGGCTGCTGTCTGGAGGAGATGCTGTCTTTGTGAAGAATCTGATGGAGAGCTTTCATTCCCAACGCAAAACAACTCTTCAGTCACCAGTCCATCAAAAAGTGCTGTAAACACCAACACTGCATACACAAATACAATCAGCCCCCATTTATAATTTCAGTCATTCACAGATTTTTATCGGAATCTTGACTAATTCTCAAAATAGAGGGCTATGCCGTGCTAGAAGAAGAACTTGCAATGTGCTGTTTGTTTTTCCTCCCGCTACCCATCGAAGGATACCAATGTCCTCTGTGGTTAATCAGCATCTAGTAAAGAGGCCCTAGATTCATAAATCCCTTGTTCCGATTGATTGCTAAGTTCAAAAGATTGTGGCTGACAAACAGAAATAGCAAATGAATGTAACCTTTTTTTTAAGATTTAGTGTCGTATTTCTGTTAAATTCAAGACATAAAAGGTCACACAGTAGACCCTACAGTGAAAGAAGTAAAATAAAGAAGGTCAATATTGTTTCATATAAAGCACTTATGGCCACCTCAAAAAAGGGGTACGTGTGTAGAACAGGATTTACCAAAATCCGAACAGCATTATGGATGCGAACCAGCAGTAGCAAGGCCAGACCAGACCCAGCTGGGTTGAGTCCCCGACTTCTATAATGGAAGCACAACAAGGAGTTTTCAGGCTATATTTCCTCTTCTGAGGATAAAATGGTTTCTTAGACTCTAAACTTAAAAAAAAAGACAGAAATCCGTGGTGAGATTATCTTGTCTTTGTGGTTTTCCCCTTAAACAAACGTCATGGCAACTTTTCCTCTCAGTCTGACATCATCAGCAGTTTCCGTAGTGACAGTAATGCATTATTTTTAAACTTAGAGAGCCACTGCTATCAAATTACGATCTATCTGGTCTGTGATCCAATCCACTGGCACAGACCGTCAAATATCACGGCGAAGTCTTAATCAATGAGTGGAGTAATTCCCCTGATCCAATACTGAGTACCTGTCTGAATTGAGACAATTAGTGAGTTTTTGTGCAGCAATACCACCAAAGCACAGAGGTGAGGACAGCAAAGATACAGAAGTTAAAATATTCAAACACTTCTCTGGGAGTGAGAGTGTCAATTCTGGCCTTTACTCGAGTGAAAGTATAACAGTACTGATTTTAAAGCATGTCAGAAATTTAACACTAGTTATAATACAATGGCTCAAATCTGTCAAGACAGCCAGGAGCTGTGTTCTGTTTAAGCACTGATGTCACTGAAGAATTTTGCGAAATCTTAAGTTGCATCTGATGCATCAATGTCAAGGACTGTTTTTAATGCTGTTTATTTTGACACTAGTGATTAGTGTCAGACACTGATTGTTTTAATGACAATTAATTTAAACCCTATTTTAAATTGATCTTTCATTCCGGACTCAAAAAATCTCAGGACCTTTGATTAAAAAGTTTGAAAAGAAGAACTGGTGAAGAACCTTGTGAATGTGTCCAAAAAGCCGAAGACATTGACTTTCCCCTTGTTGAATGAGTATTGATTGTATTCCAGTGGGGGGCTATGCCAGGGAAATTGTGATCGGATATGGTTTTGCAGGTTGTATAAATGCATAATGCATGCACAGGACATAAAACATTCGTTCAATTCACGCTGTGCATACAATAAGTCTCAGAAATTGGGTTGCATTGGTCAAA